TTTTTAAATATATTGATTTTCTTTAAATGATGGGAACATGGGGACATTGATTATTGGCTGAAAAATGAATTATTGAATTTTCGTTTTTTGTTGTATTGTATCTTTTTAATAATGGGGACATGGGGACATTGATTATTAGCTAGAAATAAATTGTTGAGTATTTATTATATTATATTTTTTCTATGAGAATAAGATTAAAACATTGATCGTAACTGATGAAAAATAATATTCTGAATATAAGACAGTTTTACGAAGATTTTTTTCTTCTGTGATTGTGATTTCATAAGTATTTTGTCGAATCGGTTATATAGGAAAAGACATGAATATTTTCAGTTAGATAATGTTTATTACGTGTGATGATAAAATCAAAGAAAGAAATATGATAAACAGATTTTAAAATTTACGATCACATTCAAGAAAAAATGAAAGTCAGTAGTTAAATAAACATAAGGCAACGGAGACGTGCGATTGTGTATTATTTTCTCATTAAATATTTCCCTCGAATAGTAATATTTGAATTATAAAAACAAAATACATCGATTTATCTAATTAAAAATGTCGTCATAGCTTATGTTTAATCATTATGTGTTTCATAGTAACGAACCTTGATAAATAGAATACAGTTCATTTACACAAGCGACATAAATATTTAATTTAGTAGATCTTAGAAAAAGTTTTTAATATAGAAAATTTATGGGAATAATAATTTTAGGAAAACTATGTAATAATATATTATGAGATGAGACGACTAATTATTTTATATTTTTATAATACTAAACGCTGAATAAATTAGTATATAATAAATGACGAGCACACAAAAACACAAAAATTTTCAGAAAAAATCAAATATATGATACAATCAGTTCACTCAATTTCTTATTGAACGTTTTTAATATGTTTTTTTTGGAAACTACTATACAAATTATTTGTTTTATTCTAACAAAAAAATCTTGCCCGATATTTTTTCTTTTAATTCTAAATGACGAGCACAGAAAAAATCGAAAAAATATATGATACAATGAATCACCTAATTTTTTATTAGTTGTTCTTAATCTGTCTTTTTCTGTTGGACGATACTATACAAATAATCTATTTTATTATAATAGAAAAATGTTTTTCGATATTTTTTTTTCGACCAAAAAAAAACAAAATTCAAATTTTCGCGCGGAAAGAAAAGCAAGTTTTGCCTGTTTAATTTTGCCTAAAACTTAATTTTGCCTGGGACATATATAAGAGAAAACATGAAAATACAATAATAATAGAATTTTTGACCTTGTCAGATTCGTGAAGTCGGTCATCATCAGTAGTTATGATTATTTGATGATGTCCCTGGTGTTTTGGTATTACTGATGATGACCGACTTCACGATTCTGGCAAGGTCAAAAATTCCATTGTTATTGTATTTTCATGTTTTCTCTTATATTTATATAAAATCCCTTTTATATCTATATAATTATCGTTCATTGCATTATTTCTCTTTATAAAGAAAGATTTCTGGCATTCTACAGCTCAATGGTGGTATTTTATGTCCTTTTTTGTTCTGTTGATTTATTCTACATAAAGTCATATTGCTCGTCGTGGTATCTTTATAGCGTTACGATGGACAATAAATTTTTTCTGTTCTATGCAATGGTATTACTCAATATCGATTTCAAACAACATAAAGTAAAGATACTACAATAGTTTTTTCGTCGCTGTGGTCTAGTGGTAGGATTTGTGTGCAATGGTTTATCACTCTCATGACTGAATACGAGAGTATGACGGTACGACGATAAACTGTTCTCTTTCCGCACAAGGCGCGAGGTTCGAATCCTTGCCAGCGATATTTTTCTTTTCATAGCTAAACTTACTACAACTATGAACTAGAAGACACACAGGCGAAACTCATAGTACGAAGTCGATGTATTTATTGAGGGTGTGGGTGTGGGTGTTTCTTTTTCATTCATACCCAACCGCCACATTCACACCCACATCTTCAAGTAATATTCAATTCTCTGCAGAATTTACATCCAGTTGAGCTTAATAATAATTTTTTAAGAAAAATGACTACGTGATCTTTTCATTTCTCGTGTTTCACAAGCAGAAAAAAGAATTATAAATATCACATCTCATCAAAGACTATCAATAGCCTCATCTATACCGACTGTCAAGATAGTGATGATTTTATCTGGCTCGTAGTTTAAATATATGAATTTGAAGAGAGTGCAAGCAAATAGAAAGAGTATGATAAGAAAGGTGTGGATGCATAAAAGCGCAGCACACAACAGCATTTTCATTTTCAGTCTGTGTAACAGTATATGATACAAATATGTTCTATGTACGTTACTTCAGCACACTCTTGCTAATTCTGCTATGGTCGGCAAACGACGCTCATAATTTCTCTCTATTTGATATTCGTATTGATCATTGGAAAATTAACACAAGACGTGATTTAGTAATTAATACACCAAAACCTCGATTTTCATGGAAGATTCATGCTTTAGATGATATATTACATCGAAACATCCAACAAATAGCATATCAAATTCAAATCTACTCAGTAAAACTAACACAACAAGATGAACTTTATCAATGGGATAGTGAACGTATTATTTCTTCACAATCAATACATGTTGCATACACTGGCCATCATGATCTCTTACATTCCACATTTTATCGTTTTCGTTTACGAGTTTGGATAAACAATTCGGTTGTAGCATGTAAATGGATTGAATGGATTCAGTTTCGAACAGCAATATTTAATTTACATGAATATATAATAAATAATACTGATCTTCTTTGGATTGGATCAACAGAAATCAATATGAATGAATTACGAAAAGAATTCAATGTTTCAAATGCTAGTCCTGTAAAATCAGCTATTGTTTATCTGTCTGGTTTAGGATATTATGAATTCTACCTCAATGGAAACAATGTTGATCCTAGCCGTAAATTAGATCCTGGTTGGACAACTTATGAAAAACGTACTTTACTTGTTTCATTTGATTTAACTGCAAATATTTCCGTTAGATATACTCCATCCTTTTTCGAAAAGATGTTGTTTATCTACTTTTATTTAGGTAGGTATGAACGCTATAGGAGTTAAATTAGGTAATGGTTGGTATAGTCAAGAGCAGCATGGAAAAGAAACTTATAGTGAATAAATTTGCTTTTGTTTCCTTAAGGAGAAATTCTCTTTTTTTCTTATAAATCTAGGTCCACCACGTCTTATTTTCACTTTATCCATTTTATTTGAAAATGGTGACCAAATGCAAGTTTTAAGCGATCAAACATGGTTAGGTCGTGAAGGTTCAATCAAACATGATAGCGTGTATAATGGTGAAATATATGATCGTAGAAGTGATCGTCTTAATTGGACTCGACCTGCTTTTAATGATTCACGATCAGCTTGGATAACGCCTGAATCATTAAAATCACCCATTAACGATACATCCGTAGGTTTACTTGTCTTACAAGATATGCCTCCCATTCGTGCCGGATCAGATGCATTACATACTGAAGTCATGATTGATAGTTTAGAATATGGTTATTTAAATCATAAAGATTTAGGTAATATTAAAGGTGCATCATTTGCAGATGGTGGTATTATTAAACCTGTAGATATGTGGATATCAGATTCAGGTATGTTTGCTTCTAGAAAAAAACAGAAGAACAAAATGATTTATATACAGGTGTTCAAACATTTGATCTTGGTCAAAATATAGTAGGATGGTGTCGTTTAAAATTTCAAGGTCCATCTGGTTTTGGTACTTATATTCGTCATGCTGAAATATTAGTTCAACCAGTTGTTTCGACTAAGTAAGAAAACTTTAATGTTATATTGATACAATAATAACTCGATTTTAGTCATGCTACTCATAATCTTAATACCGAAAATCTTCGTAATGCTACAGCATCGGATATGTATATTCTTCGAGGAGATCGTCTTGGTGAAGTCTATGAACCAAGGTATGAAAAACCATGATGTATACTATTTGTTTATTTATATAGTTCTATTTTAATCTTTTTAGTTTTACAATTCATGGTTTTCGTTATCTATCTGTATTTGGTGCACCAAATTATTTAACTACAGATAATGTTGAATGTTTAGTGGTTCACAGTGAAACAACATTGAAAGGTCATTTTACTACAAGCAATCCTATTATTAATCAAATTCAACATAATATTCAATGGGGTCAGTTGAGTAATCTCATGTCTGTGCCTACTGATTGGTATGTTCGATGTTCATATATCTATCATAAAGAAAACAACGAATTTCTTTCGATATTTTTTTTATTCATAGTCCACAGCGCGATGAACGAAGAGGATGGCTTGGAGATGCTGCTCTATCCGTAGATGAAGCTTTATACAATTTTGATTTAATCAAATTTTATTTAAATTTTCTTAATTTAATTGTTGATATGCAGTTACCTAATGGTGCAATACCAGATATTGTGCCAGGTGGGGGTGGTATATATCCAGCTGATCCAAATTGGGGAGCTGCATTACCTAAAATAACTTGGCAGCTTTATCGACACTATGGAGATCGTCAAATCCTAGAAGATTACTATGATCATGTTCGTGCTTACATTGAAAATGTACGTAGTGGTTATAATGATACTGGTTTGAAGAATTTATTTTGGCGATATGGTGATTGGCTTCCACCATCCCCATTTCCTCGAACCAACGAACATTTGACATCATCATTTGCTTTTCTTCACAATGTTTATATTCTACTAAACATGTCCCAAATACTTGAGAAAAAGCATGATACTGATATTTATTCATTATTTTATCAACAACTTGCTGAAGAGTTTCATCATGTCTTTTTCAATACGACGTCAAATTATTACGCCGATGGTATGCAAGCAGCACAAGTTTTAGCTTTAGCATTACCAGGTGTTGTACCACCAACAATACGAAATGTAGTACTAAATTATCTAGTTAATAATATTAATCTAAATGGTAATCATGCAACAACAGGCATTGTATCAATGGCTCAACTGTATCCAGTTTTATCGGATAATGGATATCACGATTTAGCACTCGAAATGATTTCATTGACTACATATCCTTCTTATGGTTATATGTTTACAAATCCGTATGAAAATGCAACAACTCTTTGGGAACTATTAAATGCACCATTTCTTGGACCAATGAGTTCACGCAATCATATTATGTATGGTAGTATTGGTGCATGGTTCTATGCACATCTTGCTGGGATTGATCTTTCTTCAGAATTTATTACAATTCGACCACGAATGGCATCCGAAATAAAAAAACATCTGATGACAAAATTAGATTGTCAATTAAGTACATTATATGGTCTCGTACGTATTGCATATACTCGTGATGAACGTGATACATTACCTAATTCTATTTTACTTCGTATAACTATACCTCCAAATACACGAGCTCGTATTATATTTGAACCTTTATTTGTGGGTGGACAATGTGAAAAACTAATTGAGAGCGATACAGTGATCTGGGCTCTTGATAACACTACGATTATTAATCATCAAAAAATTGAAATTGAGAAAAATGTTGCAACAAACTTAATGAATGCATATATTGAATCTGGTCAATATGAATTTCAGGCACTGTGGATTTAAACTGTAGAGAATGAAAATAAAGATTGTCACAAACCGTATCCATATTCTTAATTATCGCCATAGGATTTGTCATCTATTTTCTTTGCTCAAGAATATTAATTGTTTTCTATCTTGTATCGTGAAACACGCAAAAATAAAAATTAATTGAATGAAACAATTGATTTCCATGGGTTCATAAAAGAGGGAGGGGGAGTGTTAGGATCCGTATTTGAGATGAAAATTGAGAAAAGAAAAAGTAGTTGTTCAGTCGTAATTTTCATTCAAACAAAACCTGTTTTATTTTTCAAAATGAATACAAAGAAAAGAACAGCTGTTTACAACTAAAGAAAAACAACAACCGAAGAAAAAGAAAACCAATAAAAGAAAGAGATCCTGTCAGGGGGAAGTACCTTTAAACGAGGTGAGATATCAAGGGAAAAAAGTCAAAATGCTTATCTGTTCAGGTAGAGATTCTTGATTTGATGAGGCACTGAAAGAAGTGACCATTCACTGTTTCGCTTTGATCGAGCTAGCATATATTGTCGTAAAAGCAATCGTGAGATTCTCGACGAGTCTGGAATCCCAAAATATTGGATCGATTTCGTGAAGCCAATTGCTGATTCTTACTCGATCGTTCAGTTGTTCATTGGTATTTCCTAAAACTAAAATGAACAGCGTCACAACCCAAGCATTACATTTATAACTCTCCTTGTGGTTTTGGATCAGAGAGAAGGCGCTATCGAGCTCAAAATGAGCGCACGAATTAGCAAGCATGCGACAATTTCCTGCACGAAGAAGCAGTTGATCAATGAATTGTTGTGTGACAGCATCCTTGTTAACACCTCTATTGTTTGGATAGTACACCCGCTTGTCCTCCTTGCGTTAAAGAGCATTAGCAACCGTATCTCTCACCGAAGATGTGTCGTACACGATGATGTGAAGAAATCCCTGTTTTAGGCTCATTTGTAACTTCGCTAGATCACGTTGAAAAGTTTAGACGAATTGAAGCCACCTACATCACCGTACTGACTTTCTATATGTTTCCAGACATTGTTAAGATGCTGCTTGAGCAAAGGACGATGTTGAGCACCTGTGAACAGAAAGAAACGCATATTCATTGAAAATCATCGTCTTCAAACAAAAAATCTTACTAACCTTGAGCTTCGAAAACCATTGTCAAAGAGTTTGCCATGCTCTTTCCTTCAACTTCTACGACAAGATCTGCGCGTACGTTTTTCACAGTAGTATTAGAAGCCTTTTCATGTAGACCGTGGTTGACGTAGTTGAACTCTCCTTTAAATTTGATGTTGTATGTATCTAGAGAGTTAAGTACCTCGACGTAAACTTTCAGAACGAATTGTGATGTTCCAGATAGAAGAAGCTTGAGAGCAGGAATGGTTCCATATATCTTCTCCCATTCTAGTTGGTGGCCTGTTCATAATAAACACGCTTAAGCAATCAGCTGAATAAATTGACCAAAATATGATGATGTGACCAGTTTGAATTGTTAATGATAAAATATTAAAACTAATACCAACTGCGACACTACCGTACATATTTATACTATCTATAGAAAGAGAGAAAGAAAAGATATAGGTTTATGATATATCATTTGAACAAAAGAATATATATATATCAAATCACTACTATAGCAAGTGATATCATATAGAAGAAAGAAAAGATTGATCTACATAAGGACACACTGGTCACAGATCACTTAAGAGACTTTTTAAAGAAACAATTGGAAGTATCCTCATTGTCCATTAAACTGATCAATATTATTCTACAATAATCTTCATAGAATTCCTTCGCTACGTTAGTTAACCTTGAACACGATATTACATAAAGGCAATGCTGTATCAGATACTTGAATGGACTATTGATGTGTCATATCGATAGAAGCGAGTTCAAACCTCGCATCTAGTATGATTATTTATTTTTTCGGAATAAAGATCCCGGGTTTGAAACCATTCAAATGCACTGGTCCGCGTAATATTTTTATTTATTTTTTGTTTTAAATAAACTGCGATCCTAAAATCTTAACAGTACCATGAATAACAGCTAATTCACGTAATATTACTATAATAGTAGTTATATTACTGAAATTGTGGCCACTAATATCAATCTGATACTATGATGTGCGAGTAAGCCTTTTTTGCCGTTAAACAGTTAGTACCAAATAACTCTGAATGGGTGTGGGTGTATCTGTATCATGTCTATATCGTCCACATCCACCCTCAAGATGGTATTAGTTGTTTTCTATCTTGTATTGTGAAACACGCGAAAAATAATAATATTATGTGATTTATTTATAGGCAAGATAGAAAATAAATACAAAACCGATTAAAGCAATAATTAAATGATATAATTAACTATTTTCCCTTCTCATTTCGATTTTTTGACTTATTTATTATACAAGTAGCGTTCATCGAAACTCGATTCGCTTGGCCCTAGACTGTCGCCGTCTGCATGCTGATATAATTGTATTTAGATACGAATGAGAGTTAATCAATATTAGCTTTGACTTTCAGCAAGAAATCAAATAGAATTTCTACTTTATATATGACAAGACTATTGAACTGACAAACTTATTAAAAACATTTTGCAACAATGCATCAACTAGACTTTTGAAATTATCAAATTACAATGCGTATGTTTTTAAGCGTCTAATTCTGGATCTTATTTTATTGAGTCGTCGTACAGGACGTTTTGGCACATCATCGTTTCTTTCAAACATGCATTAAAAATATTTGTCGATGATGATGATGAACGACAAGCTATATAAAATAGATTAACATTTTTTCTAAAGCATTACAATACTTTGTGTATAAGAATATTTCGTTTTGTTTGTTATTAATATTATTTTCATCTTTCTCCATAGTAAAAGTAAAATTGATGTTGCCTCATTATTTTAATTTGTTCAATAAAATAATGATCTATATATAATTTAGAAATATTTCAAATACTTAAGCTCGCGCCCTTTTGATACAATTAAATAAAACGAAAATAGCAAGTAAAATTATATTATCAAAAATAATCCATGTAAATAGATAATTCCCGATTCTAGACCCTATCCTTTTCAGTCTAGGCAACAATGAAATCTATTTGATATCATATTTTAATCGGTTATAATGAAAATATAAGATTCTTCTGTAAAAATAATTTGAAATAATGCTCAAAAGTGGAATATATAACACAAAATTCAGATTTAGTGCGTTATAGTAGTATAAAAATCATAGAAAAGAATATTTAATTCAATATTACTGATGGTCCTACCGAGAGTCGAGTATATTTGTATAATGTAGACGACGATGCATGCTGACGCTTCATTACCATCGACTCACCTTGTCCTTCGTCCTTCGCTCAACACAGAAGAAAAAAAGTACTTTTATCGTTTCTTCTAATACATATTACCATGATTGACATGGCGTCAAACTATTCAGTTCTTAGTCGATGTATGTACGATGGCTTTTTTTTATGTTCTTTCTTCTGTACAGAAAGAAATTTTTTTTCTTCTTTTTTAAGGTAATTGTTATAATTCAAAGGACGTTGTAAAAATCAGAACATTTTTACGTATAGAAATTATATTACAATGATTTTTTAAATTTAGTTTAATTGATGTCCACTCGAAAGTATCGTTTGGCTGCACCGACGATCAGTGGTAAGACGAATGTATTATATAAACCAACGTCGTTTAAAGTAGTTTATGATCCTCTAAAGTTGAGGACATTAGATAACGTCGAAGCAAATACGAACAAAGCGCTTCTGAACGGTAAACAAAAACTCGAAGAAACAGAATCATTCGTTCCACCTGCTCGCTGGTGGCTTGTACTACCACCTTTACTACTCATAATAATCGTTAGTGCCGTAGATCCATTACTGATGAATGATCTCGTTGTACGTCGCTACGAAAGTCGATATGGACTTGATGCATCTCCCAGTGCACAACACAAAGCCTGTAGTCAATCTACAACGACTGCTATACCAAATTACTATTTGGGATATCCATCGTCTGCTGATCAACATTCACAAAATCAACCTAATTACAACTTAGTACAACGTGATGCCGCCAATTTTAATACGAAGAATTCATTGGTTGCGCTCATTCCCGCACTTGTTACATCTGTTTTACTCGGATCGAATTGTGATATCATTGGACGTCGTCCATTGCTGATATTACCATTCGTCGGTAAAATAGTCTGGTATTCACTGATGCTGATCATTGTCGCTCATAATTTGTCAGATACTTGGTTGTTGGTTGCTCACGCAATCGAATCAGTATTCGGCTCCAGTGGTTTAGTGTTGTTAAGCGCATTTTCTTACATTACTGATTGTACATCAGGATCAATGAGAACACATGCCTTCTTATTAACTGAAGGAATAACTTTTTTTATTCGTATTGCGCCTGCAATAGCAATAGGCATTTGGCTGCGTTACCATCTATATACGACGCCATTAAGTTTTTGTTTAAGTTTAAGTGTAATTGGATTACTTTATGCACTGTTCATCCAACCTGAATCGATCGAAAATGTGTAAGTATAGACAAAAAAAAGGAAGAGAAGTGATAACAGAACTCTTTGAAAATTGTCGTTATATTTATGCGTTTCCGTGAATAAAATTGTAGTTGACACATTAGCCTGTCAGTTACAAAAAAGAATTATAAGTATTACGTCATGCTAAGAAGGAAGTATATACCATACAAGAATATAGTATCTCATAATTGTTCATCGTAAAAGAATTTTCTATAACTTTGAACAGTTTCATACAATAGCCATTCTACTAGGAAGTTTTGTTAATAGTAGACTCTTATCAATGTATCTATCTGATTCATAGAAAAAACGTCTCCATTATACGGCAATTGGCACGTATTCGTCTCAAACCAATTGCACGTGTCGTCACAGTATTTACTAAGAAACGTTCCGGTCATAAACGACAACAACTTGCACTCATCACAATCGTTACCATCTTACTTCAAGTCGTGTTACTTGGCTACCTATCTATATTTTCGCTCTACCTTTATGGCCGTCCTATGTGCTTGGATGCACTTCATGTCAGTCTACTTTCTTCAACTCATGCACTAGTTGTATTCTTGTTGAGTATGTTTGCTGCATGTACCAAGAAGTCATTTGGCAGTACTTATCTACCACCAATATTGGGTTCGAGTGCTGTCATCGTCAGTCTTATCATTTTGGGTCTTGCAAAGAGAGTCTGGTTGCTCTACATAGGTTAAATAAACTTGATATTCATATTATTACTAATATATATTGTTATTTTTCTTTCATTTGTTTAGCTATCAGCATTGGAAGCCTATCTTTTATCACAATGCCTGCGCTTCGAACGAAGTTGACTAAACAGATTGAGACAGATGAGTTTGCCGTCGTATTCATTGGCGCAGGTGTCATCGACACGGTTGGTCATTCATTAGTGAGCGCTGCAGCTAATCGTATCTATAGTGCGTCACTCAATTCCTTTCCAGGTTTGATCTTCTTGGTGTTCGCATGTACTGGACTCATTCCCATACTTACGATGGGGTATGATTATTGTTTATTATATATATATATATATATATAGTTTTGTTTTTACATTATTTTATGCGTTTTTTTAGTTATTTGGCATTCTTGGAAAAGAAAGCATCTAGAAATACAAATTCAAAAGCAACAACAGGAAGCAATGTGAAATTATAGATAACATTTTTTTACTTCCAACTCATAGACTGAAAATCACACAAACTTCGTACGAAATCGTAGTTCAAGAAAGAAATGGACAGAAATGATTAATTTATATTAAATCCAACTATTTTATTCTATTTTTTCATTTTTTTTCACTTTCATTTGAAGTAATCTCTTGAATGTTATAAAAAAAATTGTCTTCATTCGATAGTGATTCCTTAGTGTTAGAATGAATTATATCAATCAACAAATTTCAAGCAGCATAAAAAGGATATTTAGATTCAAATAGTTTTCATTAGCTGTCAGATGAAATAAGTAAACACTATATCAGAGATGTTCAAGCTTTCTTTAACTTAACTTTTTGCAGTTAGATAAGAACAAGCATCGTTTTTAGGGTGTGGGTGTGAGCTTGTAGACATAAAATATCTACACACACCCACATCCCCACCCACACCCTCAAATTGTATAGCTGCCATTGTTGACCGCTTGCCTGACTCAAAATGGCAAGGAGAAGTAACAGAATATGCAAGGACAGGGATAACAAATGTGCAGGGGTCATAAAAGAGAAAAAAGGTCAAATGGAAAGCAAAACATACGGAAAACTACACGGTCAACCTACAGAAGGAACCAGAAAAGATAGGTCATATATGTAACGGAAAGACTGATCTTTCGTGCTTGATTTAACCGAAAAAAAAGAATATGAAAACAAAGAAAGGTGAAACCACAAGAAGTGACCGATGTATATGCACGGTGGGGATGTTCGGTCAACAATATATAAGAGATAGTGATGGTTGAAATCCATCACAATATCGAAATAAGTAGATACGGAAATTATTCATTTCAGCTTATCAATTTATACTCAAAGACATGGCAATGGCAAATAACAAGACAACATGTTTTACATGTAATACAGAAAAAATAACATATTCTTGTGAAGGATGTTCGAAAAGATTTTGTTTAATACATCTAACAAAACATCAACAAATATTAAATGATGAATTAAACCATATTACCAATGAATATAATGAATTTAAACAAACAATTAATGAACAAAAACAGAATCCACAAATTGATATATTAATAAAACAAATTGATCAATGGGAAACAAACTCAATTGAAATAATTCAACAAAAAGCACAAGAATGTAGAAAAACAGCGATGGAATATCTACCAACATTCTTTAATGATATCGAAATGAAATTCAATAATTTAAATGAACAAATAAAAGAAATTCATCAAGAAAATGAATGCAATGAAATTAATTTAAATTATTTAAGAAATGAATTAATAGAAATTACACAAGAACTAAATAATCCATCAAAGATTTCTATTAAAGAAGATTCACAATCATTTGTTAATGAAATTTCAATTATTTCATCAAACAGTAAGTTTTTAAAAAATAATTTCTACTTCGATCATTCTGATTTTGTGTGAAATAATATTAAAAATCAATAAGAATAGTATTTATAGAAATAGAAAATTAAATTTATTTGAAGGTAAAGAAAAAGAATGATAAGAGATAAGATAATATTTAAGAAAGATTTTATTCTATTTGAAATATATTTGATAAGAAATATTTCTCTAAATATTCGTATTAAAATTCTAAATTAAATTAGATAGAATCGTAAAAACAGAGTCAAAATTTCAACCGAAATTAATCTTTTCTTTTTCTTCTTCTTTTCATTAAAATCTTATTTTTCTCATCATTCTTTAGTATCAAAATTTAACAAATGGAAACAAAATGCCATTACTGTGGCTAGTGAAAATGGAGAAGAAGATTGGATGGATCTGTTGAGTGGACCAGCAGAGTTGATTGTTGATACAAAAAATCGTTCGATCTCCATTCTTGATGATGAATGCAACAGACGAGAGATTCCACGCACGAATCAAAATCAAAAAATGCTCGATGACATTTTTGATCACCGTAGAAGTAGCATAGATATACTTTACGATGATTTATATATATTACGCATACGTTAAAATTAACTGTATTATTTAAATCTTAGTTATACAACATATGAAAAATGTAATAAGAATATAAACATCATTTATCTATCGAATATTATTAACTATGAAGATTATTCAACATTTTATTGAAAGAAACTCATAAAATCTAACTCATTTAAGAAAAAAACAAACAAATTTCTAATCGTTTCATTGATTATTTTAAATTTTCTTTATAGATTGAAATCTTCTGTTTGAATTGAGAAAATAAATCTGTTTTCCCTTTTCCATCGAAGACTTTCGATGAACATCAATTGATCTTTGAGCAATTCCTTATTATTTATAATGATTTATATATCAATATCTGTGTAGTTCCTATAAAGAGTGTTAGTATAGTCATTTGAATATCCTTTCTCTCACATTTTCACCCATATATAACAGACTTGTTGAATATTTTATCCAATTTTTTTTAAAAAGATGAATAACATTATTTTTTTATTAAAATTCTTCATACTTTTCAAGTGAAAATGAAAATTAAAAGATATTAAAGGCATCTTTATAACACAATAGATGATATTATGAGATTTCTATGAATTCATTAATAGATTTACTAAGAATTACAGATTATAAAAGAACAATGTAATGAAACAATAAACATCCTTGCCCACATTCTCAATTTATTCATTTATATAAAATTCTTTGATTAATTCCCATAAAGACAAATAAAGAAATTTCCGTTTATTTCTGATTTGATTTCAAAGCGTTTTCTTTATCTCGACTAAAATCTTCTTAAATTTATCTAAATTAAAAATAAATAAAATTTTTTGTTTATAGAAATGATTTTTACTTCATTGATAAATTGAATTATTTATGAGAAAAGAAACGAAGTACAAGGAAATGAAATCTTATTAATGATGAAAGAGAAGAAGAGCGAGATGGATGGCAGTTGATAATCGACATGGACTGAAATATGTTCAGTTTCAATCAATCATGATAATCCAAAAAGTACAATTTTATAATAACAACTCTTAATTTCATTGATTTTTTTCTCTCTGATTGAGACATTAACAAAAAAAACTCTTTGTTCAGTTTTCAAAAACTACTGAGTTTATTATGAATTATTTTAAGAAATCAATTGCAAATATAGATCTATTCATATAAGAAACAAAAACAATAATAGATCAAATTCAAAAATTATTCAGATAAAATAATGTTCTTTTAATTAATTTTCTATTGAAAAAAATTTCATCATAATCAATTTGTTTTATCATTTTCATCTTAGAAATATTTGATTTTAACGATGTTAATAAGATTTTGTGTTATAAATTCGTTTCAACTACAATTTAACTTTCGTTTTTCTTTTGTCGATTGATTTTTAGATCACTGATTTATTTAAACACATATAATGAACATTCTTGAGAGAAGTTCAAGACGAATCTTGACCATCATGTCTACGCGTACTAAATTGCTCAGTGCAGTACAGAGAATTGAATAGATTATAACGACATCTATTCAAAATTTCATTTTTTTTATTCAATGAAAATTACAATATTATTTGTATCTCAACTATTAATATGAAAGACGAAAAATTAATAGGATTCTCATAATTCATCTTCTTTAAAGAGACTTGATTTTCATTCAATGTCAATGAATATTAAATTATTTTCATGATGAAGATCTCTTATCTATCGAAAAAAGGTTTTCTTCGCTTTCTTACTACCTGCTGATAATTATTCACCTTGACTCATTTTGTTTTGTATAAATAAAGACACAGATAGAATAAGAACAAATACTCCTTTCCTTTTCAAATTCTTCAACAAATGGCAACAGCAAATAACAAAGCACAATGTTTTGTGTGTAATAAAGAAAAAAACACATACAGTTGTAGAGGATGTTCAAATGAATTCTGTTTTACTCATTTAACTGAACATCGACAAAGAATCGAGACACAATTAGAAGAAATTATTAATGATCACGATCAATTTCAACAAACAATTATTCAACAAAAACAAAATCCACTAGATTCATCTTTAATTCAACAAATTAATCAATGGGAAGCAAATTCGATTGAGAAAATTCAACAGACAGCACAACAATGTCGAGAAACACTGGTGAAATCAACACAAAAGTCGATCGATGATGTGGAAAAAAAGTTTATTGAACTATCTCAGAAATTAAAAGAAATTCGTCAAGAAAACGAATTTAATGAAATTGATTTAAATAATTTTCACTCAAAATTAACACAAATAACGAAAGAATTTCTTCAATCATCAAACATTTCTATTCGACAAGATTCACAAGAATTTATCAAGAAAATTTCAGTTACTTCATCATTTGGTATGTTTATTGAATTGTCCCATTTCGAAAAAAGAGAAAACGAAGTTTAAGCGAAGTACTTTTTCAAATTTTTCGTATTATAAATTAATTTTATCAACGAGACTTAGAGAGAATAGTTTCAAATAAACAAATAACGTAGTAGAAAGTATCAGACGTCAGGATATCGCTTCATTATTTTATATATAGATAAAGATATTTTAATTGAAATGGCAGGTGGGACTGTGTGATGGTTATAATACTTATACCCACACGTACCCTTAAATTATTGTATTTTCTTTTTATTAAGATTCTTATCAATCAAATCATTCTACAATTAATGCAGCGACTATATCGAAGACTCCAATAACAACTCAATCTCAAGTAAAACAAAGTATGCTTGATTAAATAAAAAATAATTTTATTATCTTTAAAATTGAGCTGAAATTTTGAGCACAGTTTAATCTCATCAAGATTTCGGTCGAATTCGAAGATGAACCTAATTGGCCGAGCCATTCCTGAGTTATTCCAAAAATACTGATATTTCCCTATGATTTTTTCCTTTGAGAAAAATAATATAGTGCCGTTCTCGTAAGAAACTTTTCCACCAGAGCAATTAGAATCCCACTTATTATACACCATTCGATAAGGAATTTCACCAGCTACAAAATAGTATATAATATATAACGAAACAAGAAAGCTAACTTACCTATATGGCAAATATAATTAAGTAGGAAACGGTTGCAATCTTATCAACGACGTCATTTAGCCAGAATAAGAGTTCTATCTTCCGATCACAGATATGTTACTTGAAGGTTTTCTGGGGTGGGGAACTCGAATCTGTACTCCATTTGCCTCAAAATCACATTGGTTGAGCAATAATCAATAAAAATCAAGTTACGGGGAGAATGTTTTTTCGAGAGTAACTCAAAGCGAAGAGTTTAACGCTGAGCTGTATTCGGTCCTATATCCTATCAGATGGGCACAGCCGATAGGAATCACGTTTATACAATAGATTTCGACAAGGCGTACTGGGTTCTCCAAGGGAGGAGGATGCGTAAAATCTCAGTACTTCAAGTTCTAAAAACAGGGGACGTAACACCCTTTTTGCTAAAATCTAACACCAAAAAACACGTAAAAATTATTGTTTTTGATTTTATTGACCAAAAAAGACTAAAACTTTCCAAAACAAGGAGAGAGGGGCGTAACGCCCCATGCGTCCCCTAGTCGATACGCCTCTAGGTTTCCAATTATATTTTAGAACAAATTCAAACAAAAAAGAATAAATTTCAACAATTTGCAATTACTGTTGCTGGAGGAAATGGACGAGGACAGGAATCATATCAACTCAATTATCCTTATGGGATCTTTATTGATAATGATAAATCAACTTATATTGCTGATTTTTGGAATCATCGTATTGTCAAATGGAAATTGAATTCAAATCAAGGTCAAATCATTGTAGATGGAAATGGAAATACTGGATTGAATAGGCCAACAGACATAGCTTTTGATAAAGAAAATAATTCTTTTATTATTTCTGATGGCGGAAACAGCCGAGTCATCCAGTATTTTGATCAAAATCAAACAAATCAACAAATTCTTATTTCAAATATTAAATGTTATGGTATGACAATCGATAGAAATGGATTTATTTATGCTTCTGACTATTACAATCATGAAGTAAGACGATGGAAACAAGGAGATGAAAAAGGTGAATTAGTTGCAGGTGGAAATGGTCCAGGAAATCATCTTAACCAACTCAATCGTCCTAGTTATATCTTTATTGATGAAGATTATTCTCTTTATATATCCGATTGTGAGAATCATCGTGTAATGAAATGGAAAAAAGATGCAAAAGAAGGAATTATCGTTGCTGGTGGAAATGGTAAAGGATATAGTCTCAAACAATTTTGTTATCCTTATGGAGTGGTTGTTGATCATTTGGGTCAAATCTATGTGGCAGATCATGATAATCATCGAGTAATGCGTTGGAGTGAGGGAAAAGAAGAAGGTGAAGTTGTTGTTGGCGGAAATGGTCAAGGAAATCAATCAAATCAATTGAATTTACCCAAAGGTTTATCATTTGATGATGAAGAAAATCTTTATGTTGTTGATTGTTGTAATCATCGAATCCAAAAATATGAAAAACTTTGAAATTAAAAATCTTTTTAATGTAATTTGACAAAATTTCGATTTTTCTTTTTTGAAAATAAATAAAAGATATTAATTTATAAGAAAATCTTGAGGAAAATGAATAAAATAATTCGAATAGAATTTTGTGTTTTTCAAATGTAAATTGTGTTTTGTTTTTTCTCATTTCATGATCAGTTTCATATTACATGTTAAGAGATAATAGTTTAAATTGTGTTTTTGTAATCCATCCTAGCTACTTTTTAAAGGTCTTCTTATCCTTTGTTATAAATCAAATGTAATAGATATCTATTATAACGTAAAGAAAAAAACTCAAGTATACCATCAGAGCTAAAATAAAAAGATGGTTACAATTTAGTTTATCATTTTTTTCGAAACAAAGACGACATACTAATACACAATCAAAGGTATGGAGATTATTTCATAAGAGTCAGAGAAGAAGTTTCAAAATATTCAAGATCCGTAAAAAGAAGGAGAAGATTTGAACTGTGTTTGAGAGGATCATATAAATTTTATCTGGATTATGACTGTCAATTATTATACGAAGAAGTTGTTGATAAAATATTCTATAGGCTTTGAGCTCTTTGTTAAATTAACGATCCATTCATAGTTAGATAAATCAGTCGAAGCGCAATCAAGTATCACTATTCGAAGAAAAAATGCTTTCCAATTAAAAATTTATTTATCTAAAACTTATTTTCTTTGCGCTAGAAATGTTATGTCCTAAATGACTAACTAATTCTGGGTGGACTTACAGTTACAATTAGTGGTATTCTTAATTTTGAGTGTGTAAAATGAAGCATTTTAAAAGCGTATTCATACTTGTGACTTAGGTAGAAAGAACTCCTGAGTCAAATGGATGTGATCTCTATAATGATAAATGGATCTCATAATTACAACTTCAGACTGTTTTCTTTTCACAAATTCAGATGAGAGCAACTACACCATACGATTTTTATAATATAATTGTCGTTTTCTTAAGAAGAATAAACTAACAATTTTTTTATCATTAATGCACTTCTAACATTTCCTCTTAACTGATTTTACCTTTTCAGAACCACAATCAGCATTAACAAGAAAAAAAGCAACAACAACAGTATTATCACAGCCAACACTTGAGAAGCTACCTAAACCTAACTACCAAAATATGGAATATAAAAAACTTCTTCTTGGCAGAAACGAAGAAGATATTGAGATGGCTGCAGAACGTGTAACTGCGCATAATGCATCATCAGAATACAAAGTAAGTAGTGTTGTGTTTAAGGGTGCTAGTATTAGAGTAATACCTCACACTATTGTTTTGTTTCAATGAATCATATGTATTAGCATTGTCCTAATGCGGATTTAATATTAATGCTAAACCAAAACCTCTAGTCCTGTTTTATCTGAATTTTATCGAGAAAAGTGGATGTCTTATGTGCGTGACTGGGTGTGGTAGAATGTGTGAGATGACCATAATATCCACACTCCCACTCATCCTCAAATATTAGATATTTTTTTGTCTTGACGTTAAACAAACTTTAAATAATGTCAGCACATTACACGATCACTAATACTTTTTAGTAACAAATTGTTTTTTCAATAAATTTATTTTCATCGATAAGATTAGAATTCTCATAGATCGTTGTATTATTTTTAATGTCATCTCAGACTAAAGTATTCTACATAGAAATGATTGATTTACGTTGAATTTTTATTTGTAAAAACATAAATATATATAATCACGATCAAATCTCTTATTGTTTGTTTATTTCATTTCTTTTTCCGAGAATTTTCACACAGGATTAAAAATACTATTAAACATATTCTTATCTTTATTCGACATAAAATAAATTTTAAAAAGATATGAAATAAAATATTTCTGAAAGAGATTTAATTTTCTTCATTATTATTCGAGAAAAGATTACAAAATTGAATAAATTCAATGGTTAGTTAAGAGAACAATCAACATTTTTTAAAGCATTCCAAATGAATAGTTTTTTTGATATTTAGTCTGAACTCGAGAATAAAAACAATATTAGAAAACCTACTCGTCCACAAAGAGGATCGTAAGTTTTTGATTTAATTATTCCAAATATATCTATCATTTTAGATCTTTTTTTCATAGGAAATTTGGTTTTTGTTTTTCAATTATCGTTGCTGTTCTTATCCTAATAACGATCATTAGTATTACAATATGGGTTATGTTCATTAAAAAGGCCGAAACAACAAATAATACAACTACAGCAACAATTGATGCATCGGTAACAAAAACAACAACCTCTACAACGTCGATAATACAAACAACAATGCGTACAACGTCGACAACAGAAACTACAATCTCTACAACGTCGACAAATTCTCATACAACAACTATGAATGGTAAAGTTTTATTATAAAACAAAAAATTAGAATTGACATATTTCTTAGGTACAAAAAATAAGCTCCATACGTAAATTCCAAATTTGTAGCTCACTTACGCATCCATATTTTATCTAATAATACTTCGAAATTATATAGTCGCCCAGAAGAAACTTAATAACTGAATACAGAATATATCGGTTACGGGATGGAGAGTGCTATTTCCAAAACAGAATAATAATAGTCAGCACCCAGGAATAACACTCTCAAAACAGAATAGAAGTAGTCAGTACCTGAAAGTATCATTTCCATAACAGAATTGTTGTGTTCTATTTTGGGGAGTTTTGAGGTGTGAGCATATTAAAAGAATTACCCATACCCTAAAACATTAAATTTATTTTATTTTACACAAATTGTTAAATTCAAATCACTTGTTTTATTAGCAAATATTCTAAAATATTTCTTTTTTTCTGATTTTTATTTGACAAAAAAAACAAACCAACAAAATCTTTTTATCATTTTTATTTTTCTTATTTCTCTTTTCATCAAACTTTTTTTTTTGATTATTTTCTAGTACCAATATTTGAGAAATGGAAACAAAATGCTATCACTGTAGCTGGTGGAAATGGACAAGGACAAAAGTTAAATCAACTCAGTCGCCCAGACGGAATCTTTTTTGATAAAAATAAAAATATTTTCATTGCTGATTCTTTAAATCATCGTATTGTTGCATGGAAATATAATGCAAAACAAGGACAAATTATTGCAGGTGGAAATGGTCAAGGAAATAGAATGGATCAATTTAATCTTCCAGTAGATTTGATTGTTGATCAACAAACTTACTCGATCATCATTGCTGATTTCTATAACAAACGAGTGATTCAATGGCTGAATCAAAAGCAACATATTCTCATTGACAATATTGGATGTAATGGCTTGGCAATGGATAAACATGGATTTCTTTATGTTTCTGATACTGAGAAGAATGAAGTGAGACGATGGAAAATGGGTGTATACAATGACGGAATTGTGGTGGCAGGTGGAAATGGAAAAGGAAATCAACTCAATCAACTCAATTGGCCTACTTATATCTTTGTTGATGACGATCAATCTGTTTATGTATCAGATCAAAACAACCATCGTGTGATGAAATGGAGCAAAAATGCTAAAGAAGGAACAATTGTAGCTGGAGGAAATGGGAAAGGAGCAAACCTCAATCAATTGTATCTTCCTCAAGGAGTAATTGTTGATCTTTTGGGTCAAATCTATGTGGCTGATCAATCGAATCATCGAGTAATGCGTTGGCGTGAAGGAAAAGAAGAAGGTGAAATTGTTGTTGGTGGAAATGATGGAGGAAGTGAATCAAATCAGTTGAATGATCCCACAGGTTTATCTTTTGATGATGAAAGAAATCTTTATATTGCTGATTGGCGAAATCATCGAATTCAAAAGTATGAAATAATATTGTGAATGACCTTTTGATTTTGAAAAAAAGAAAAAAGTTTTTTGTATTGAATAAAAGAACGAAGAAAAGTCTTTTGGGATATTTTTTTTTTAAGATTGATTTTAATTTGATGATTTTGATTAAAAAAACTTCTACAAATAAACTTTAAATTCTTTATCTTTTATTGGGTTTTGAGAAAGATAAGAAAAGAAAATATTTTTTGTACTTTTAATTAAATTAAATAGAAATTATTCGAGAGAAAGATTTTGTGTTTGATAACATTCTATTGGGATATTTTTATTTGATGAAAATATAATCAATTGTTTTTAGCTTTTTGATTTGACAAAATTTCAACTTTTATTTTTGAAAATAAACAAAAATGGATTGAAAAATATCTTTTAATAAAATAAATAAATTTATTTTTCAGGGTGGGTGTGGGTGTGGATAGTTATATCGTTGGACACTCACACCCACCCACACCTTTTCATGTATAGGTTATTCCATATTTTTCCAATGGGATTGCAATATTATCAGATCTCTCGTTCAAAATAACCCATCTTTAAAATTTGCAATATTCTTTCAAGTTCAGGTAATATTTTCATCTAAATTCATGCATCGGTCGATATAATTTCGAGAAAAAAGACTGTGTTTGTGAGGGAAACGGCAGGTAGGATCTCTCAAGGTCTACCTGTAAAGAGCGATCTAGAACCCTAAACACTCTCTAGAAATATATCTTGAAGAGTCCCATGTACTCTGGATTAACAGTGTTTGAGGTATAATAGTAAGCCAACGCCTGTAAATACACATATAAGTGATTTGCCATAAAAGCGAAACCTATAATATGTGGCTCTACCTTGAGAGTGTGTGTATGAGTGAGTGAAGAGTAGGTATTCACACCCATACCCACGGTGGAGAGATATGATCGCCAGTTCCTTTCAGTTTTCATTAAAAACTTCAAGATTATTTACATTTTTCATACATTAGTCACACATAGTAAATTTTAAAGATTTATTTAAGCAAAAATCATATGAGCTTATAAAATATTTAGAAACACACGCGCACAAAAAGCTTTAGAATATAACTATAATTGAGTATACTGATATCGATTATCTTCCGATAATCATAATTGCAAAACAACACCTAAACTCCAGCTTTTTTCAATCTTAATAATTCTGCTTGTTGATCGACATAAATCTAGAAGTATAATACAAAATAATTTAAAATAGAAATACTTCTGATATTAACATACTCTATCAAATGCTTCTAATAATTGATCAATTCTATCAGGAAAATTTTGAATTGGATCAAAATATTGTGAGCGCATTCGACAATCTCGTTCTTCTTGAATTTCTGTTTGATTTAATTTTTTCAGACCTAAAATATTAATAGACAACTATATTCTACTAAGATACATCAATCTTCTCTTCAGTCATACTCTCCTCTGCTCGTGAAAAAAATAATTATGAAAATGAATGGCACACAAGTGAAGCTCTGAAGTCATTTAATCTAATTGACTTAAATAAACCAAACAAATCTACGTACCTGTCCATCGTAGAAATTTCTTTAGCATAAATGATAACATAATTTGATCTTCTTTTTGATTCTCTTTCGCGTGATGAAAGCCATTACTAATTATTGAAAGAAACATACTTAAACAAACAAAAACAACTAGAAATATAAATAAAGTAAAACAAAATGGACCAAGAAAAGCATTAGCTTCAGTCATTTCTGATGCATCACATTTGATTAATGTCATTTTAAAAAGCAGTTGAGCAGTGTTTAATAAACTTGAACAGGACGAAAGTTTTGATACAAATAATAAATAAAATAAACTAAGAAATGATATAAATACGATTGCAAACATTATTGAAAATGAAATCAGTTCCTTTGCACAATATTTTAATGTGTCGACGAATAAAGATATTCGTTGATTAAAACGAAATAATTGAATAAATTTAATCGTACTAAAAAAACAACAATAACCAAGAAGAAATGTTAAAATATCATTAACATAAACTGCAAGTTGTAAATTGATATAAACATATCCGTTGGTTTGTTCAAATAATTGACTTATACGATTCGTTTCTTGAAAACGCCAAAAATAAACTCCAATACTTCCCAGTGAACAACCAATAATACCTAATTGAATTAGTGACCAAAATTGATGAAAATATTTTAATCTTAATTCATGTAATAATCGAATTTCAATAATTATAAAATAAATTATAAAAAATATGTAGAAAATTGTACAAACTAATTGTAATATTGATGTAAATGCTAAATTTAAAACAACAAAAATTTATTTATCTATAGAAATAAAAAATAAAGAGTGAATTACTGTAGAAATTAATTGGTTCAAAATGGGCTGTTGTATAAATACCACCTGTTGGTAAAAATTCAGCAAGTAAAGTAACTGCAGTTAATAATTGAACACTTGGATTATATAATGTTAGTTGAATAAAAACAGCTCTTGTTTTCTCATCAATCCAATCTAATTGATGAAGTGTAGATAAATTTGTTTTCATATCAGATAAACGACCACGAAATTCATATACATAACCACCTCCGCTATATGTTCCAAATTCACCTATATACGAATATGTATCTAATTCATCACTCGTAGAATAGTTAAATGCGTTCATAATCGATGAACTATAGACTTCATCTTCTATTGTTTGATTTGTCCAGCCTGGTTGAAATAATTGTGTTTCTTCATTAGTAAAACTATAACTATCTTCACATATTGAAATAACACGTTGATCGGGGCATAATTCTGATTTAATACGTAATTGTCTCATTGTTGCCCAACCAATTAATCGACTGGATTTATCATTTAAAAATCCATTTAAATATTGTGGAATATCTCCATTATACCATTGTTGTGCACGAATATTTGAAACAAAACTATTTTCTAACCAGTACCAATATTCATCGATTGTATTGATCTAGAAAAACAAAATTCATTTCAATACAAGAAAAGAAGAACAAACTTGAGTATAATCAGCAGTCATTTGTCTTTGATTGAGTAAAAAAGCTCGTAAATGATTGACTTGAAAGAAACTATGTTGTTCACGACTTGAATAAGTTATTACAAAAACTAATATGGCAAATATAAAATAAATCATAAATTCTCGAATAATTGACCACATTTGAATTTCTTTTAGACGTTGATCACGAGCATAAATAATTTCATTTTCATTAAGACGATTAATACTTTTTCGAGATTGAGAAGAAAATATTGAGCGATACTATAAATGGAAAATTAATTTTTCAGTGAGATTCTAAATGATAACAAACCTCAAGTGAATGAAGATACTCTTCATCATTAGATATATTAAATTCATCATCTTCATTTATATATTCACTTGTTTCTTTATCATCTTTTGAATTTCGACAAAAACATATAAAGAATATAGCCAAACATATAATCTTCAATGAAATATATTTCAAAAATATAAATTAAAAGTAAATAGAAAATATACTTTAATAGGTTGAGTAAAAATAACTGATGAGAAAAACCCAGTAAGAACAGATGTTAACCATTGTTGAGTTTTGACATCACCAAATTCAATTCCTCGAACAATGATAAAAAATATTGAAATAACAATAATTATCATTGAAAGACCATAAGCAATAAATAAACACCACCAAGGAAATGTTATTACAGATTTCTTTTTCTTAATTGCCGGGATATCTTCCGAACTACTATAATTAAGAATGTGAGTGTCGATGAATGTATTTAGAAATATATACGAACGTTTTTCGAGATGGTTTCATCTTATATAATGCTTCACGTAATCGTGAAACTTGTTGACGAGGTCGAATACGTCGAAAAAATTGAACAATTAAGAGACTTGGAATAAATGTAAATAATTCGACCATTATACCAATTCCAATCTTAAATATAAAAAGATGTTTTCACTAATCAGAAATTGGACACTTTAGAGGCATAAGAATGTGGGTGTAGTCTATATTTTTCATTATAAAAATCAATATATACCTGTTGTGGTGCTATGTAAAAAGGACCAATTGATAAAGCACTATTATGTGTTTCACTTGATGCATTCGCTTCATTTGATAAATCATAATACATTATATTAATTAACATTGAAGTAAAGAATAAAACAAAACAACAAGTACATCGTTGAACACGTGTAAATTTATTTGATGGTGGACGAGAAAATATTGAGAACCATAGATGACCATCGGAAATACTATGATATGCTTTTTTTGATAATACATATGAAAATTCTTGTTTTTCTGCGTCACTAGCAATCGGTAAAGTTCTTTCAATCTAAATCGAAGAAAAAAAAAAGAAATAGTATGTTTTCAATTACACGACTTACTCGTCCATCATCTTTTTCAACTGCAAACCATTGTTGAGAAATAAAATAAAACCTATCCAAAGTTTGTAAATCTCGAACAATAATATATTTTAAAAACCATGATGCTGAAGAACCTTCACCTGTATTATCATGCCAAATGCGAATATAATTTAATAATCCCAATGATCTATATGTTAATCTTTTACTAAATCTTCAAAAAAAAATAATAATTTTACTTTGGAACAGCAATAATAAAAGAATTAATTCCACCACGTTGAAAAATTTTTCGATGCGGATCAGAAAATAACCGAATTTGTGTTTGATCATCGTCGCCCGATAAAACAAAATAAACCTTGCAAAAAGAAAAAAGAGGTTTCTTAAAATATTTTTTTCTTTGTACTATATTACTTTTGAATCTGTTCCTGCATTTGTTCTTTGACCAGTAAAAACAAGAATTTGATAATAATAATGATCAGATTTGTTATTATCAGCTAATGGTGTTACTCCCAACTAAAATAAGTCACAAATTTTGATTTTATGAAATATATGAAATAATGTTCTTAGTTTACTTTTTCAAAATCTTTCTTATCTTTAAAACGTGCATAAATCATTAAAATAATATAAATTACTGACGTAAATATCATTGTTAAATAAACTGTTTTATTTTTCGAAAAATCAGCATTGGCAAAAACATAACTCCAATTAATTGGTTCTGGTAAAACAATAAAACCACCAGCAAATGTTGTCAAATGAGTTGAAAGACATTCAGTTTCATACAGATTTGTCAATGATCCAACCTATGGTTAAACAAATATCAAATAATCTTTATTTTCCTAATCCATCTTATACTTACAATTAATCCATCTGATTTCCAATTATTATTTTCATCAAGATAATAACAACCTGATGTATATATAAGAAGTTCATAATTTGATGTAAAATTAATTGATTC